ATATATATATATATATATATATATGCACTACGGTTTAAAAGTTTGAGGCAATATTTTTTTCTGTTTTTGAAAGAAGTCTCTTATGGTCCCAAAGCTGCATTAATTTGATCAAAAATTGTAAAATATTATTACTATTTAAAATAACTTTTTTAAAATGTAACTTATTCCCATAATGCAAAGCTTAATTTTTCAGGATTCTTTGATAAATAGAAAGCTCAAAAGAATAGCATTTATTTTAAACAGAAATCTTTTGTAAGATTGTAAATGTCTTTACTTTAGCTTTTGATCAATTTAATGCATCCTTGCCTTAAAAAATGTCAAAGTTTCGCATTGTAGTGAATATATAAATTTAAAATGAAAGAAAAAAAAAGAATTAAAGATATGTATAAAAAGTGAATAAAAAGTGAGTATAAAAGTTTTTACACCGTAAAATAAGGTTGAAAAAAGAACAAAAACAATTATTTTGACACTGAACTCTCTGAGATCAATCTCTTTTATTGCTGAATTTCTCACTGCTAAACCAATAAATGGAAATGGAGAGAGAAACAATCACAGGCCTCTGAAGACACCAGAGCAATGAAGCTGCGTCTCATATCGGAGATGAACATGTTAATAACTCTGTAAACTCATCGTGTCTCTCTCTCTAGACCCGGTCTGGCCATTACATGAGCCGCTGCAGGTGGATTATTACCAGTTTCTCTGAGATCTCATGCGTGATGGGCGATTTATTCACAGTACATTCACAATGATAGAAAATCAAGCAATATTGTGAATATCACAATGATTTTAATGTGCTTTTTTTTAATCTGATTGAAAGATTCATTCACGGCACAATTAAAAAATGTAAATTTTTCATGCATAAAAATGTATATCTAACAAATATGCAAGTTCACAGCATCAGCAACACTGCTATTGCACATAAAAGATTCTTTAACAGACCAGAAATCAGTGTTTTGTCATGAATGTGCAGGTTTCCAGATCTCTGGCTAACGAGGCGCTCCGTCAGACGCCTGTAGAAGAGGAACTGAAATAAAGAGTGGGACTGAGAGCGACGCGAGAGAGATTCAAACACAAGATCCGCTCATGAGCTTGAATTAGCCGCGCGTCTGTGACCCCACATTCAGCACATCGCTAATCATTACAATACATGCAGACGAGAGAGAGAAGGACAAACAAAATAAAGCTAGCAAGAGAGGAAGAACAGAAAAAGAACAAAAAAAACACAAAGAACAATCAAAACGAAAGAACAGCCGAAAACGACAAACAAAAATAAAAAAGTAATGAAAAGGACGCACAAAAAGAACAAACAAACAAGGACAAACAAAAAGAGAGAAGAACAATCAAAAAGGAACAAAAAATATCAAAAGAAAAGGACAAACAAAAAGAATAACAAAAGAACAAAAAGGACAAACAAAAAAACTAATGAAAAGAAAGGACAAACGAAAATGACAAGCAAAAAGAATAAACGAAAAGGACAAAAGAAAATAAAAACAAACAAACAACAAAAAGAACAAAAAAAAAACAATGAAAAGGACAAATATAAATAAAAGAACAAAGAACAAATGAAAGGCAATAAACAAAAAGAAAGAAGAAACAAAAAGAAAAAGAAAGAACAAAAAGGACAAATGAAAAGAAAGAAACAAACAAACAAGAAAAAGGACAAACAAAAAGAAAAATGAAAAGAAAGAACAAATGAAAGACAAACAGAAAGAAAAAAGTAATGAAAAGGACAAACAAAAACAATCAAAAAGAAACAATAAAGAAAGATCATGAAAAGGACAAACAAAAAGAAAATGAAAAGAAAGGACAAACAAAAATAAAGAACAAATGAAAATGACAAGCAAAAAGAATAAACGAAAAGGGCAAAAGAAAATAAAAACAAACAAAAACTATGAAAAGGACAAATAGAAAGAAAGAACAAACAAAAAGAAAAGAACAGAACAAATTAAATAACGACAAACAAAAATAAAAAAGTAATGAAAAGGACGCACAAAAAGAACAAACAAACAAGGACAAACAAAAAGAGAGAAGAACAATCAAAAAGGAACAAAAAATATCAAAAGAAAAGGACAAACAAAAAGAATAACAAAAGAACAAAAAGGACAAACAAAAAAACGAATGAAAAGAAAGGACAAACGAAAATGACAAGCAAAAAGAATAAACGAAAAGGACAAAAGAAAATAAAAACAAACAAACAACAAAAAGAACAAAAAAAAAACAATGAAAAGGACAAATATAAATAAAAGAACAAAGAACAAATGAAAGGCAATAAACAAAAAGAAAGAAGAAACAAAAAGAAAAAGAAAGAACAAAAAGGACAAATGAAAAGAAAGAAACAAACAAACAAGAAAAAGGACAAACAAAAAGAAAAATGAAAAGAAAGAACAAATGAAAGACAAACAGAAAGAAAAAAGTAATGAAAAGGACAAACAAAAACAATCAAAAAGAAACAATAAAGAAAGATCATGAAAAGGACAAACAAAAAGAAAATGAAAAGAAAGGACAAACAAAAATAAAGAACAAATGAAAATGACAAGCAAAAAGAATAAACGAAAAGGGCAAAAGAAAATAAAAACAAACAAACAAACAACAAAAAGGACAAACAAACAAAAACTATGAAAAGGACAAATAGAAAGAAAGAACAAACAAAAAGAAAAGAACAGAACAAATTAAAGGAAATAAACAAAAAATAAACAAAAATAAAAAGAAAGAACAAAAAGGACAAATGAAAAGAAAGAAACAAACAAACAAGAAAAAGCACAAACAAAAAGAGAATTAAAAGAAAGAACAAATGAAAGACAAACAGAAAGAAAAAGAAATGAAAAGGACAAACAAAAAAAGAACAAACAAAAAGAAAAAGAAAGAACAAAAAGGACAAATGAAAAGAACAAATGAAAGACAAACAGAAAGAAAAAAGAAATGAAAAGGACAAACAAAAAGAAAGAACAAACAAAAAGAAACAAAAAGAACAATCAAAAAGAAAGAACAAACAAAAAGAAACAAAAAGAACAATCAAAAAGAAAGAACAAACAAAAAGAAAATGAAAAGAAAGCACAAACAAAAATAAAGAACGAAAATGACAAGCAAAAAGAATAACAAATGAAAAGGGAAAATGAAAAGAAAAACAAACAAAAATGTACAAAACCCATAAGAAAGGAAAAAAACGTGAAGGGATGTGAACGAGCAAACAAAGGCAGCAAATGAAAGGATGAATGAACGAGCAAATAAATCAGGCGCAAAGAATCAACGAAAGCACAAAAGAACAAAACACAAGAATGAGTGTGAGAAAGGCGCAGTGACTGAAGTGAGTCGTGCAGTGAACCGCTGGGTCTGTCGTCTGTCGAGCTAAACTCGCGCTCACCTGCGTGGCCATCTTGCCGTAGTCGATCCAGCGCAGGGTTGCGAAGTTCGTGGACTCGGCGCAGTTGAAGCCGTGGTTGAATCCGGCGTGATATCCGTACGGGAACGTGATCATGAACTCGCCCTCCTCCTGCGTGATCTACCACAGAAACAAAACAGCGGCAAAATCATCACAACGAGGCCACTGCGCAAAACCTACGCCATCGCTTTACGTCATCTGTGCGGATTATGGTGTAAAATCTTGTTAGTTGCACAAAATTAATACAATAAAATTTATTTTTTATTTTTTAAATATATATATATTTTTTTAATAAATATTTATTTATTTATTCACTTTTTAACGCCATGCCAGCATCAAGGTTATTTTCATGGCGATCTCTGAATAAATTATACAAGGTACACAATTGAAAGAACAATTAAAAATTAAAGAAAGTATGTGAACAAATTGATAAACAAAAAAAGAAACAAAACAACTTACTACTTTTATTAGCTATTTATTTGATGAATTCTTAAAAATAAAAAAATTCAAATGAAATACAAATTGATACTTTTAAATTAAATTGACTTAAAAAAGGAACAAACTCCTTTTATTATTATAATTTAATTAATAAATTAACAACTAAAATGTCAACTAAAATAATGAAATTAACTTTTAAGTTAAATTTAATTTCATTAAAAAGTGAGGTTAACTGTAAAAAATGTGCAATTTTAATCGCGAAAAATAGATAAAATAATACATACACAAAAAACAAGATAAAGAATTAATAATAAACAAAAATAAATGAAACAACCTATTTCTTTTGTTACTTTTATTGTTTGAAGTTTTAATAGATAAAGAATTTAAAAATAATTAAGTCAATTAAATAAAAAATAAAAAAAACTTATGAATGTAAAATAAAAAACAAATCAAATTAAAGAAAAACGACAAATGAACAAAAAAAATAATGCTTTTATTATGTGTAATTTAAAAATTAATGCATGGATAATTCAAAAATACTAAATTAAAAAATAACAAACAAAAGCAAGAGAGAATTATGAATGTGAAAGAACAAAATGAAGGAATTAATGAAAAATGATGAACAAATTAAGGAACAAATGCATAAAAATATAATACAAATAAATGAATAAAATTTAATTAACATTAATAGCCAGGTATTATGGTGTAAACTCACATTAGAAAAAAAAACAGATTGCAAATGTTATATATATATATATAAAAGCACAAGTGTCTTTGCGAATAACTGGAGTTTGACTGTCAATATCTGCAACACTTTCTTGTGAATTCTGCACGAGTGCTAATAATCAAGAAGCCCTCGGCTCATCCTCACGGGACGCATGTGTCTCTGAAGATGGAAGCACTGGACACTTAATTTTTTCCCGGCTATTGCTCCGCTACCCTACATATTAATTTCATCCAGCTCCACAGTCTTCTGGGCGAAGGCAACATTTAAAGGACTCAGTGAACTGTACTTTGATGAAAGAGCCAATAACTGCTGAATTAAGCTGCAAACGACACTTCAGAGGGAGAAAAGGCCATCGCGGGAAAATCAGCCGAGACTGAGAAACACGCCGGCTTCCAGCGCTAATATCCATAGCCATTAGCGGCTGATGGGAAAAGAAATTTGCTGTGAGAAATCTTCCACCTCTCCTCTCGTTTTCTCCCTCCATTCATCGTCTCCTTCAGACCTCGGCCGCCGGCGGCCAAACGAAACGCTGGAAAGACATTTCCAGACGCTACGAGCGCAATTAAGGTGGAGGCGCGGAGCATGGCGGAGAGTTAGCCAGCCTTAGCTAATGAATATTTTCATTTCACTCCGTCGTTTTCTAGCTTTGCGATCGGTGGAGTCACACTTCAGCATCACGCTGACGTCCATTAGAAAGAAAGTCAGATTCATTAATGCGGTTTCGAGTCATATTTCACTGCTACGTGTCTGGTGTTTCTGTAGAATTAGTCCTCGGGCGTTTGTACATTTAACGAAATTAGATTAATTCCACACCTGTAGAGAACGCGATATTGTGTTATAGAGTGTCGATTACAGCTCAGACAAACATAAATGAATAAATGAATAAGTAAATAAATAAATATTTTAAAATCAAAAAAAAAAAATTTAATAAATACATTTAAAATGCAATATAAAAATAATAAAACATGATTTAAAGTAAAAATATTTAAAATAAATAATTACAATGAACAAACAAAAGAAAAAATGTCAACGTGTGAATAAGCACCAAAAATAACATGAAAAAGTATAATAAAAATAATATGACAAAAATAATTTTCATTTGAACTGAAAGGAAAAAGTAAACTAAATTAATAAAATTAACTTTTAAAATAAAATGTAATTTTCATTTTTTTAAAATTACATCAGGTATTATGGTGTACATTTGCATTACAATAAAAAATCTGATTGCGAAAATATTATACTGTATATAGAAACTATTTAATAAGTAGTTAATAAATCCGTGTATCATTTGCGCTGCTTTAGCGCGTCTCGGTCTCCTTGAGCATCTTACTGGCGCATGCCACAAACATGAACCACAGCGAATACTTGTCTTTTAAAAGGCTTCATTTAGATTATTTTACATTAAATGCATCATATAAGTCACTTTGGAATAAATCACAGTAGGCCTATGTATCATGATAAAAAAAGCGACTTTTACAGTCTGGAAATACTTTAGGCTATAGCAAATTATTTCTTGGACCCCCTATCACTTTAAGAACCGCTGGTCTACACAGAAGAAAGACCTGTCTAGACTCTGCCCCGGTACGAGTTGTGTCGAGCTATTCATTAGTCTGTTTGATGAGAAAAATATGAAATTGATAAAATGGGTTATTAATCCGTACAACTGCAGCAGTGGAGGACTATTATTCTGCTGCGTGATACTGGAAGTATACTTCGGAAGAACTGAAGGCGGCACGGTTTGATCTTTGGCTGACCAATCAGCAGAAAGGGGTGTTTAATTCCCGCCCACATGTAGAAATCGAATATTCAAGCTGTTTATTCATTTTTCCACCCATGAACGAAAAACGAAAATTTAAGCTGAATTCTCGTTTTTCGTTTTTTGGAAAAAAACAAAAAAAACAAAAAAGGAGCCGTTTTCTCATTTTTCTACTTTCAAGATTAAATAAAAAAACGAATGATCAAATGATACACGGATTTTAATAACGCATTTGAATTTCCATATTCCAATTTTACTTCCATAATGAAAAAACTAATTTTCATTTGAACTGAATCGAAAGAAAAAAGTCAAGCAAAGTAATAAAATTCACTTTTAAAATAAAATGTAATTTTAATTTTAAAAAATAAAGTCAGGTATTATGGTGTACATTTGCATTACAAAAAAAATCAGATTGCAAACAATAGAATTTTTATAAAAAATACATTGAGAAATTTAGTGTAATTTTGTACATTTGCATTACAATAAAATCTGATATTATATAAATACATCATATATATTAAAATAAAAATATAAATAAATAATTCAATGTACAAAATATTTAATGAAAACGAAAATGACTTTTGACTACATTTTGCATTAATGTATTGTAAATAAAATAAATCAAAAATTAAAAACATTTAAAATAAATACAAAGTATTAATTTAAAATAAAACCTAAACCTAAAAGCATATTAATATATTTACTTTAGTTTTTAAACGTTTTTTCACCAAATATTAATGCAAATTTACAGAAAATGAGAGAGAACCAAAAACAGGACTTTAAAGTCTCAAAAATCTGACCCGCAAAAAAATTTTTAACATTTGTTTGAAATCCCTTAAAATCAACATGAAATAATTTACAAACGATTTTACTTCCATAATGAGTGTATTTTAGAGTGTTGTTAAACAAGAAAAAAAGTGCATTTTGATTTCATGTTGACATTACTTTAAGGTTCTTCAAAGTATAGCATCCAAGAAACATCCTATATATTGGTATTAAGTCTTGTATTATGTTTTGTATGGTCTTAACTGTCACTATAATGGCGGAGCGGATGAGATTTAATGCATGATTCCTGGGTTTCTCCTCACACTCTTGCCGATTGTTCGCTAGCAGGAGTTTGAGCTGAAGCTCTAATAACGTCCCCAGACACACGGAGAGAGAGAGACAGACAGACAAGAAACCTGCTGAGATCAACACTTCAGCGTCTCCCTCTCCGTTTCATCTCACTCCAGCTCCACCGAGTGTCACATCGACTCAAAAGTGACAATAACATCCGTCGCATGGAGGAGCGGCGGATGCCAAAATCAGGATTGCAAGGGTTGAGTGTAACGTACAGCGGCGCTGAACTTTATCTAGCCTCATTACAGAGATTTATTCCCGGTTTAATCTCGCCGCAAGGGTCTCGGGCTCCTAACAATGGGAATTATCTGAGGAAAAGACTAATTTGCGCGAACGGAAATGGACGGCGGAGTAAATTGAAATGTAATCCTTGGTTGGCATATAAAGCGCGTTTGTTGTGCAAATACACATACAATTATGTGTGTAGTTTACCACCCTCGTCATCTTTGAATGCGAAGCTAAGCGCTAACTAGGGTTGGGTATCCAATTGATTCCGATTCCGATTCTGCTTATCGATTCAGATTCTTATCGATTCCTAGTTTCGATTCCAATAAGATAAAAAAATCCAAAAAATTAAGTCAAACATTTATTCTGTCTTTTTACAAAGCATTCTGTTGCAGCTGAATAACACGAGCAAAAATCAGCAGCCTACAGAACACTGCAAGAGGAATTTTGCCTTAAAAAGAATACCACAGCAAAAACAACTAGATTAATATAAATTTCAAATATTAAAGTGTTAAAGACAAGTAAACAGTCAGTAAAATAAGATAGGAACAAACAAATCAATTAGCAATATCATAAATAAATACAACTGAACAAAATTTCAGGTACAGAAACTGTAATTAAAAGTTTAAAAACACTGCATAGTTTTCTTTTCATAAATAAAATATAGATTAATCAATTCAAGTTATTAAATATATTCAGTCAAGATCAGTGAATGATTTTATTTTGTTCTTTGATTAACATTAATGACAGGCAGCACGTTTATTAGGCTGCTGTCTCTTTAACACCGAACGCACGCAGATCTAAAAATACTGTACATGTGTGTTTTCTTTCTCATCTGTTTACGTTCACGTAAGACAAAAACGGCTGTGTTTATGATGATATACTGACGTAGTTTTCTGCATATTGGTCGACAAATGGCCCGGAACAACCTTTTCTACAGTGGAAATACACGGAACGGTTCGAGAACGGACACAAACCGGGAACCCGTACCGCGACGTCTGTTCTCTGTGCTCGCGCTTGCGCTTCGTGTGCGCTGCACGCAAACAGGGCACAAGTTCTTTCCGTTCCTGCACTTAAATTGTTTTTAATCACATTAAAATGCGAACGCAGGAATCGTTAAGCAGAATCGAAATGCACGCGTATTATCGCATACCCGGTTCTTAAAAATTTGGAACCGGTTCTAAAATGGAACCGGTTTTCGATACCCAACCCTTGCGCTAACGCTACAATTTTTGCCTGCAGGCGGCCTGCGACATTAGCACTGCGGCCTACATTAGCATTAGCATGCAAAACGTGTCTTCAGAGACTCCCACAACTGTGTGAAATAGTTAAGTGACTAAGCTTAGCTACTGTATCCAAGTTGCATTTTCTTTAAGAAAAACTGTTCACGAAAAAGCATACGCTGTTAGCAAGGTAAATTCTGACCGGTTGATGAAAAACAAGCTTATGTGGATTCTACACATTTAAACAATTCAGATAAGTTATCTAGAAATATTTATGGAGCAGATAAAATACATGTAATCATTTATTAATCAATTATCATTTTGACTTAACCCTTTTCTTTATTTAAAGTCTGAAATGTGAGGTTTACCTTTTAATGAAACGTTTTCAAAGCTTTATTTGAACATTTCGTACATGCTATTAGATAAACTGTAGTCAGTCATGTTGTCATTTAAAATTCGGACATCACTGGTAAATGTTATTGTTTCAGTGATTATGCAAACAAAAAGTCATTTTATTTGTTGATTTTAAATATAAAATTTGGTGAAGGGATTTATGTGTCAGTACTTTTTGAACATTTCCAGCACATTTTAACAATACCGTGATAATACTGATAACGTAACTTAACCAATAACCGCACTTTAGTTCATTAGTTTTGGACACTATAATTGTGATAAGAAATTTTCATACCGTTACATCCCTAGTCATCACATTTTTAAAATAATTGAAATGTATTATGCAAATTATCACATAATAGCATGAAAAATTACAATAAATAGTTTTGCTTCTTTTACTGGCGTATTAATGAAACATGAGTAATAAAATGTTTGTATAAGTAGTTCTTGAATTGAAAATTGTCGCATTAATTTTGATGAATTTGCATTAGCGCTTCAGCATTAGCAAATGTAGCAGAGTCAGATACAAAACTGGGATATTATTGGGTCAAGCTAGACCATTCTGAAATCTTTGTTCACACAATTTTGATCGTTTGCAATAGGGCTGTCAAAAAAAATATTCGTCGAATTTAAATAAAAATCCACATTCGAATGCAAAAACGCTGCATTCGAATTTTAGGTGTGCGTCAGGCAGCCTTATCAGTGGGGCACGAGATGCGATGACGATGTAAGTGACGTTGCATTATAATGTTTTTGTTAGCCTATCCAGTTGAAGCCACTAGATGCGGCGCTGCTGCGTTGTTCATTAAAAATATTGCTGAAAAAGAGAACATTAATGCGGAGAAGATCTTGTTTATATCAAAACTGAAACCAAGCCGTTCACACAGAACACATATTTCGCGCATTTTCTAGAGGGACATCTATCACCCTTGCACTCGCATCTCGCACAAAGGAGCCGCATGTTTAGAAAGCCATGTAAAATTAATGCAGGTTTAACTTTGAAAAAAACATATATCGAGATTTTATGGCGGGTTTTTTCCCCATCCCACTGCAACTCATGTTTTTAAATGAAAAATGTACTGTGTGATTGGCTTTCGGCCCTTTGTATTAAACTATGCATGCATACATGATGCTGTTTTGTTTATAGTCGTTTAAGCAATATAACTGGTTTATAAACATTATTTTAAACATTATGCACTTTTTTCACAGATAGTCATGTTATCTTATGCTTTGAATAAATGTGCATTAGTAATATTTTGCTCGATGCGCCCTCTTGTGGCCTCAGAAGAGAAGCCAAAAGCTTCGATGCACCCTCTTGTGGCCTCAGGAGAGAAGCCAAAAGCTTTTCTTCACCCTAACTGAAATGATGCATTTTAAATTCAAATATAATTCGAATTTTGATAATATTTTAGTACAAAATTCGAATTTAGTTTTTCAGCCATTTTGACAGCCCTACTTTGCACGCAAAAAAAAAAACATAATTCGTTAAACGTGAACATTAAAAAATGTAAAGCTATGTGCCTTAGTGATTACAAATGAATAGATTGAATTTATGTAAATTGTTGATAAATAATCAGCTCGCTGATATAATAAAATCCGACACATGTAAATTATATCTGATCCTCTCAGATAGCCCACCTGATCTTATGCTGATCTTTTATGGCTTTTATAGATTTGCTCTTTGCGTCTCAGTCAATATAAATTGCACAGTTGGGTTGCTATGGATGCGCTGATCTCTATAAGTCCCATCAGATACCATTACTATGGCAACATTGAAACACACATACCGACTTATATAAACTGGACTATATTTAGATCATTACTGAATCAAACTCTAAGACATGAAGATCGCATGATGTTTCTGCAGGAAATAAATTATTATATATAAACAGGCATTTGTAAAAAAAAAATAATAATAATTATTAGTTTATTAGAGTTATTATTAAACTATGAGAGACTATGAATAATAGTTAAAAATTATTATTATTATTATTTCAGAGTTGGTAAAAATTTAATAAATTGACAATAGCTGCGTCTCATTTCAGAGGCTGCGTCCTCCGGAGGTCGCATTTGAAGTCTGCATACGTCATCAAGGATGTCTTATTTAAGAAAAGTAACAGTAATAAAATGGACGGTTATTCCTTGTTTATTGAAGATTCAGGACAACCAGCTAGCAGTGCATTACAATAGTCCAGTCTAGAGGTCATGAATGCATGAACTAGCTTTTCTGCATCAGAAACAGGTAACATGTTTCGTAGCTTGGCAATGTTTCTAAGATGGAAGAATGCTGTTTTTGTAACATGGGAAATATGATTTTCAAAAGTTGCTGTCTAATATAACACCCAGATTTTGACTGTAGAGGAAGTAACAGTACATCCATCTAGTTGCAAATTGTAATCCAAGAGATTCTGTGTACAGTTTTTTGGTCCAATAAGTAATATCTCTGTCTTATCCGAATTTAATAGGAGAAAATTATTGGTCATCCAATCTTTTACATTTTTAACACACTCTGTTAGCTTAGATAATTTAGAAGTTTCATCTGGTCTTGTTGAGATATATAGTTCAGGATCATCAGCATAACAGTGGAAACTAATCCCCTATTTTCTAATAATATTACCAAGGGGCAACATGTATATTGAACATAGCAGAGGGCCTAGGACAGATCCCTGTGGCACTCCATATTTTACTGGAATAAATATTTTACATATTTATTCCTTGTGAGGTGTAAAATAATGTAATTTCTTTTTTGCAATTTTACGGTTACTTTTCTTAAATGAGTCTGCCCCAATGATGTATGCAGCCTTCAAATGCGACCTCTGGACCCTCCGAAATGAGACGCAGCAAATGATTTTATCCAAATGTTAATCATAGAGGTTCACAATTGACAATTAAGACTAATTTTAAAAAATTAAAATTAAAATCTTTGTTTAATTGGTTTTATGTTATGTGATAATCTGCATAATAAATTATAATTAAATTAATATAACAACAAATTGTAAATTAAATGATATATCAGTACTATTTTGTTTTATTTAAAAATAATAAATAGATAATAAATTATTAAAAGCAACGTTTTTTAACTTGTATATTTATTATTTCTTTTTTATTAATTTATTATTACAGTACTACTGTATTTATAATTTATTATATTAATAAATAATGATTGCATAATGACATCAAACAAAAATTCTTCACATTATGATGTGACAATCTGCATAATACAATTATAATTATATTAACAGAACATTAATAATAAATTGTAAATAAATTAAATACATATTTTTGTTGTTATTATTATTATCATTTCAGTAATACTTTATTTACTAATAATACTACTAACAATAATAATGCTAAATAAATAATTCAAATTAAATTTTGCTGTACTGATAAGTTTTTGATTTATAGTTAATTATTATTACACTTTTAATGTGTTTATAATGTATTGCATACTATCACAAAAACACACAGCAAATTGCATAAATATTTCTGATTTTGTGAACCACTATGATTAACATTTGCATTGATAAAATCATTGTCAATTTATTCCAGTTATCACCAGACATATTATCTGAATGAACATTTGTGCTGTCTGAGTGACAGGAAGTGATGCAATAATGTGTGAATAACTCACTCTGTCAAAGGGGATGCTGTATTTCTTCAGGATGGATGGAGAAAGGAGGGTCATCTTGTGACGGAGAAACGCGTCGCAGCCCTGAGAACTTCCTGGGAAAAAACCTGCAGAAAGCCACAAACAGCAAAAAGAGCGAGAGTAAGACGATGCCAACGGAAGAAGCCCTGAAATAAACAGACTGAAGATCTTTAGAGGACATTATAGATATATAGATATAGATAGATATACATTATTAGAGGATATTATGTAATGATGTAATATATCATCAGTCTGCCTTTGTTTCGTCTTTTAACGCAGATTTAACAGATGAAAAGGACGCGGCGATGGTTAAAACCAGGCGACTGACACGATGGAGTGTGAATTCATATTTTTATGCACGGATATACAGGAGTTTTGCATAAACCATTAGTGGCATCAGGCCTCGCACAACAGAAAGCTTTAGCGCAGTTCGCCACGATTCACGTCTCGGCCGCTTCTCTGACTCTCTTCAGGACCGTATGAGTTCAATGCAGAGGTTCTCCTTTGGTAACAGCGTGTGCTTGTGTTTCACAGAGTTTCACACAGAAATCAGTATTCATCAATGTGTTAGCACTTCAAGTGTTCAAACATAAAAGAATAAAATTAAGGATATTTATAAAATGTTAAAATATTTTATATACAAAGTTAAAATACATGTATAAAAATAAACATTGCAAGTATAAATTTGTATGAAATAGTGTTAACATTTTATATTAAAAAATATTGTTAAAAATATTTCTAAAATATAATGTTAAAATATTTAATATAAATAAAATGCATATTTAAAAATATAAATCTGAATATTTAAAAATCATATTTAATGTATATCTATGAAAAATAAATGAAACAATATATTCAAAAGAGATAAAATATGTACTTTTTATACAAATATACATTATGCAAGCACTCTTAATTTTTTTTTCAAAGAATATTTATAAAATCTGTTAACATTTACTATAAATAATACTGCAATAAAAAATAAATAAGAACAAAGTTAAGAATAATTATAAAATATAATGTTAAAATATTAAAATACATATTAAAAATAAACATGAATATGAATATTTAAAAAATAACCGTGAGTTTATAACCATAAAGAACAGAATAAACAATATTGTTCAATAACACATTTTGAATTTTTATAAAAAATATAATACAATGGTGATTCATCAATAACATTAATTTAAATGTAGCTTTCCAAAAAATAATTATATATAATTATAAATGATTTTAGCAAATGGCTGCAATATAACAAAGAGTGAAAAATTTAAGGGGGTCTGAATACTTTCCGTACCCACTGTATATATATATATCAATAAAAGTCTTATTTCAGAATTACAAAAATGAAGTGCATTAAAGCTTGATGACAGTAAAATACAACATTAATCATCAATCAAAGGATGAAAAAACAAACAACAACAACAACAAAAAACGTCCAAACGAGGGCGGAAAAAGACAAGTTGTGGTGTTAAAACGCTGTTGGTGTTTGTATATACGTCTGTCCTCTGTGTGACGTCTCAGCGCTGATCACTGAAAGCCCGGCGTCGTGTCGAGTGCTCGTTTAAAGCGGGGTGTTTGTTTAAGTGGGACAGGAGTTTGTGTATGTGGGTTATGGTAGCGTTTTGAAGTACAGCAGCCTCAGATCTCAGAGACGCACAAACATCTTCACATCTCATAATCCACACAACCACAGGCAGACGCCTGGGCTTTCCTAGACAACTTCCGGGAGGTGCGGAGAGGATTTTCTGCTCGCACCTCATTCAGGATTACGGCGATGTTTTGTCTGCGTAATTTGGGGCAGGAAAAGACCTGCGGTATAGGATTTTTCCTGTCTCAGGCCGGAATCGTTCATCCTATAATGAACTTCTGCCATTATTTATACTCAAACCTGTATGACCTTCTTCCTCCAGTAAAACATAAACTGAGAAACTTTGCAGGATTGATTTTCCTCACACAAATTTATCGTACGATTTTGTTATGGTGCTTTTTAGCCATTTTTCACCAACAGGGCTTATATATCTTAAAAAATTGTAAGAAACTACAACGTTCAAAAAATTAAAGTAATAAAATGAATTTCTATAAATGCATAAATTATATACATATCAATAAAAATAATACATATAAGATATACATCAAAATATATAAAACTAATATAGACAATAAATAAAAGTATACTATAGACTTGATCGGTGTCGCGTCATAGCTGTGTGGGCGGAGTCGGCGTGGGGGAAAACAACCCTTTCCCCCTCATTGGAAAAGCATGGTGTTGACTCAGAATGGCCTACATAAAATCATTTCTGCCGCTCGACAGAGCAACATACGTATAAAAACTGAGCCGTATTGGGTCGGACTGTCCGTACGGTATCTGTGACTGGACAAACGACCCAACGGAATGGCCAGAGGTGTCGTTTCCCTTAGCAGCTTAGGCTACTACAAGCCTATACGAGACGGCTTGTGAAAGTAAACATTTGTCGTTTTGTTTTGCTTCATTTTAATAAAGTGATAAAGACTTGAGTAAAAGCTTGTCGTACTTTCTTATTGATATATTAAAAAGGTTTTAACATTAACAAACAGGTAACATTAAGGTCCACTGAAATGCCTTGAAGTGCACAGCGTTATTCTATGTGGTGTGTGCTGCCTAATCATTTTCACAAATACATGCCGTAAAATAAAAAGATAACATGAAAATATGTATATAAAATACCAAAAACATCGTTGTTGGTTACTATAGTTAAACCATGGTAAAAACAACATGTTTTGCTACACTAACCATAGTTTAACCATGGTATTTGTAGTAAAACTGTGGTTATGGGCTACAATTGGTAATAAAAACGCCACAAAAAAAAAAAATGTGGTTAGCCTACTATACTTTTACTATAGTAATACCATTGCTAATTTTCGTAAGGGATTGTGTATAATAATATGAAATAAATGTTTTAATAGATTATGACATCACAAAATATCAGGGAGTGAGATTTATTTGATTGTGATGCGAAGGAAGGTTAAGTTACTGTAAGCCCCATCAGAAATGGGTTGCGGTGCACGGGACTAATGACAGATCATTGCAGGGGAAGTAGTGTTACCTATCTGTGCTACCCGCTCAGTGTTACCTCCGGTAGTCCGTCTGTTTATCAGCCATATATATCTTCAGATCAGGTTTTTTAACTTATTAGAGGTACAGAACGCCACACAGCAACTTTTCGGCATTGCACCAAGCAAAAATCAATCGAAATCATCACAAAAAGTAAAGATCAAGCACCTCAAAAATCAATCCAAATAAATCACAAAGAGTAAAGATCAAGCACTAACAAGGTCTCTGCGCGTTAATTCGAATGGTTTGTTTTCCCCCACGGCATAAACGGTTATGACGTTTTTGTGGGCGTTCCCAGCAATGCCGAACAAGTCTATAAAAACTAAAATATATGTGTGTGTATGCTTGAGTTGAATTACTGAAATAAATGAACTTTTCCACGACATTCTAATTTATTGAGATGCACCTGTATATACAGAGAGAGAGATTTATAAAGATATCTACATATTTTTATTTTATATAAATAAATACATAGGATATTATTATATAATAGATAGATAGATAGTTTAGTTTGTATATATTATGTACTGTTAATACACATAATATAATAGTACATAATACTATAATAATACATATATGTATTTATTATATATTATAGGTATTGTTTTAGTTTTATTGTTTATATAAAATATTAAAACTATTATTTATATAATTTATATATTTTTATTATATTTTATCCATTCATTTCTTTTTTAAATTCACGTGTGTGTGTGTGTGTGTGTGTATATATACACACATATATATTTGTTGCACCAAAGGAAAAACAAACTTTGGAACAAAATGAGAACAGGTTTCCAACATTTCTGTTTTCACTCCTTTTCCTTTAAGGCTTTTATATGTAAATGACCTCTGTTTTGATTGCCTAACCTACCACGCTCCATTTCTGCATGGAGACACGCTAACGAACGGATGTGAGGTCTTACCTTGTGCCAGCCGCTCCAACCTCTTGCCGTGCTCAGGAGGAATGGCATACCTGCGGTGAGGAGGAAAAAACCGAGATCAATTAACAGGATCAATGGAAAAAGACGAGAGGGAAAAACACTGGAGGGACGCGCAGCGAGACGCCTCTGTGAGAATCGCTGTCTGATCATCACACAGCCCTCGAAATCATAAAACACACAGAGAACATTTCACCCCTATTTCACATTCACCAGTCACATGCTAGTTTAAAGACAAAGTACTCAAACGTCACCGAGACAAAGCCTGGAAAATTGCTGCGCGAGAGCCAATTTATTTCAGCTAATCGGCTCAAATGCGCGCAACGCTAATACAGATTGTGCTGTGCTGCTTAATTTGAAATGATTTCGCTGGAGAAGGAAACAGCACAATATCTTCTAAAGGTTCAATTCGCTTGACGTTGTTATTGACATTGTCTGTATCAGCCTAATTATTTCCTCAAGTTTCTGGAGAGCCGAAACCCTCCCGAGGCCTCGAACGCAAATGTAAATCCGGTGCATCACCCTCCCTTGGGCTCCAGCTCCAAATCACACATTCACAATGAGGGGAACGTGGCTTCAGGAGGGTTTTGAGCGGCGTCGCACTGCCCTCTACTGGCAGCAGGACGCAAAACAGGGATTTTATGGGCGAGTGGCACTTTCTAGTTAAACACAGGCCAATTTCACAGCAGTGGTTTTCTCTACACAAGCGCAGGATCGTCTGAAAGTCAACTGAATACCAAGTGGACAGATTAAAGGGTTGTGTTTGTATGCAGCTGATGGGATGTACAAGAAGAGTTTGTTTTATTTTACAATGTGTTGTGGCTTTTACTGAAAAGTTATAGGAGAAAAAGTACAAGAATTATGGGGGGAAAACAAAGAGGGATGGGAACTGCCTATGCACTAACCAAACGGGAACAAGTACAGGATGGAAATAAGATCTATGGAGATGGAAACTTGGATGCTAAGAAAGCTGCTAGTTAGCAACCTGTGCGTCCCATATTCATATAATTATGGAATTAGCAGTAGCACAATCTCATAATTAACTGAACTGTCTGAAATAAACTGTTCCTCCTGAACTCAATGACCCTGGACTCAAAAGTTTTGGCACATATTTTCGAAACAGTGCCATTGTGTTGGCACCTACATGTAGAAATTACTCTACTAGCGGCCAATCACAAAGTACTCATTCTTGCATTCAAAAACATTTAAGACCAAATTGGAGCACAATTTGAGCGCACGCAGAGATCTTGAGACTACTTAAAACTTTCATAGAGTGTCTTAAAACGGTGCAGGACACTACAAAACAGAAGGATGCCACTAATTGGCCTCCACCTGCAACAAACATGAATGCTAATCAATTCCCACGATGACTTGCATTTGTTGCATGTATTGGGAACTGCTCTGAAACACCAAAGACGAAGCCAGTGGGAAATGAAAGGCTGGCCGCAAGCACCCCAACTCTAAGGACACTGGCGGTAGTAGATTCAATTTGGTGTTTGAGGTGCCACCACAAATCAATAATAATTAGATGGCTCTTTTTCTCCTTTTCTTGCAGATAAAAGCTGGATCTGATGGGCAGCTGTAATTAGGGTATGATTGCTTCCTGCCAGCAGGAGTATCCTTACACCCCACTAACCCCACCAGATCAAGCTGACAGTAACTCTATCTGGCAACCAAAAGTTGCTTTATTCGATCTGGAACTGTCTGGGGAGGAAGGCAAATATTGATGAAAATCACACTAGGGGCACCAGAAATCAAGGTAAATCCGAGGCGCTTGACTTGGTGTGACTGTAAACGGCCACTTGGAGGAAAGCCTCCAGTTTCTTTAGGTTCCTCTAGTACCACCGGAATGACGAAATGAACACAAAGCGCCTACTAAACACCATTTGAGATTTTGATACAAGGGTACTTAGGTGCCTGGGCGTATGTAAGGGACGCATCCCATTTACCTTGTTTACGGCCCATGAAACAATTCCGTACTTCACTTCCCAGATGCAATATCTCTCCAATCCCACGGCGGCAACACAAAACCCCTACCTGCCAAACAGCGTCGACGCCACCGGCAGCGTTAAGGTTTTTTTTGTCATCATCTTGAAGAGGACAAGAACAAGAAAACAAGCAATAAGAATCAAGCTATCCTCTCAGCTGCAGCACTCCCTCTCTCAGTGATTATTTCCGGCAATGTGCGCACCACTTTGGGCCACTCCGCAATCTTTAAGAATCTGACACTAGATCTCAGGAGGCGGCGAGAATTATGACTTTGATGTGAGGAGAGTTGGAGGCGAATGAAGTTAATTTCACAGTGGCTGAACAGAGGGTTAGGCAAACAGCTACCACACACACTTTAACATACTGTAATTACCAGAAAAGTAAAATGGATTCAATTTCAAAAGCAGAAGGGGGTGTTTGGGTGGGGAGGACGAGCGCATGCATAGTTGCATTAAGCCAAGTTGAAGGGTGAGTAAATTTTCTACTCTTTCCTTTTTTCTGAGCATGAGCCTAGCCATTCTCCGCTGTGCGGAAAGTTAACTTGAGATAAGGCCTCCAGAGAGCGGGAGAAAGAGAGAATGCTTAGCTAGAGACATCAAGAGCTAACACTTCAGAGAGATATGAGGACACAGAAGAAATGGAGATGGAAAGATACTCAAGAGAGCAAGCTAGACTTACGCAAGGCCTCTTAAAGAATCACAGTTTTGCACCCTTATCCATTTGAACACCTGTGCCTACCAGAGCATGACCCAAAAACATGCTACGACCCTTTCAACACGATTCATGTCAATGCATTAAACTCTACAGAGACAAGCATCAAGCACTAGCATTAAATTTAGCCCTAATGCAACTTTTAAATAAGGGGATCTTGATGTTAACTCTTGCATTTACTATTCACAGTTTCATTTGGGAACCATCTTTTGATCAGGGAACTAAACATTTTCATTACAGAAATATAATTTTTACAAGTCTCTTTTGCAACTGGTACTTACGCACAACAAAATTAAAACGTTATTTTTAACATTAAAACTTTGAAGTTAAATAAAGAATAAAACAATGTTTCTTAAAGAAATAGACACAGTTTTAACTTTTGCATTTGTGTAACATTTACATTGGTGTATTTGTTTACTTCTGACTAAATTGTGAGGATAAAAATGACTGATGTTTGACAAAAACAACTTACTAGAGGCTTTTTCGTACAAAAAGCACTAGTCGTTGTCTGTGCACTTTTATAAAAGGATCTGACAAAAGATAGTTTACTATGAAGAACAATGTGATTTTATGAAAAATGAATTGGTTTACAATCTTGAACAACTGCAAGGGGATTTGTTTGCATTTTCTATTAGCCTACATAATAAATAGAATTCAATTTCTGAAGTATTTTTAATACCTACTTGTGACCAATGAATTTCAACGACTTTCCCAGTTATTTGTGATTATAGACCAATTTGGAGTAGACGTCACAGTTACGTCACATGCAGCTGCGCGCGCATTGCGGTGGCAGAAAAACACTGGGAACAAGTGGAGGGAAACGGGTAAAATCCATGGAATAAGAGAAAAAATGTATGGCTGTGCCTTTGGATGTCAGAATCGGAATGCAAATAATTGTTATATAACACTGTCGTCAAAGACGCCATTTGAAGCTAAACGCATACGTTTAAACGGACAGACTATGGATGAAACCTGCTATGATCACCCTACTTTTAAAGCATAAATTTGACTTTATAACTTTATTCAAGTCAACAATTGCGAGTTTGTCAATTCTGAGGAAAAAAAGACAGAAGTGTGGGATTATAAACTAAAAAGAAAGAATGACGAGTTGATTTTTCTTGCCAGAATTGTGAGATATAATCTCAGAATTGCAAGAAAAAAGTCCAAATTTTGAAATATAAACTCAAAATTAAATATTTATTATTTTATTTCATGGCTTGAATAGACTGCTACATTAAAACTGTCATTTTCTGCCACCAGATAGGCTCCGCCCACAAAAACGTCATCACTGTTTGCAAACACTGAAATTGGTCTATTGGTTAACAAATTTTAAGTGCACTTTGTATAGATTGCTCTCACAATAAATATAATATTTTAACACTCAGCATCATTCAAAAATATGAATGAATAAAAAATAATTCACTTAATAAACTTGGATTTTCAATCCTGGAAAATACTCTACCATTTTGTGGGAACCCTGCTGTTTACTGCGAACACTTCCTACTTTCTACTTCAAATCACAAAACCTTTCTTTCGTGAGGCAACCTATTATGCTTTTCATCTCACGCATGTTTTGAAGCCCCGATGTTGTTCATTTTACATTTTGACCAGTTTTAAATGAATTTTTCCAAGGCACAAAACACCCTTGATTAACTTCTGCTTTCCAGCTTGATTAAAAGACACACACAGATGGATGAAATATCCCTCTGTACGACAGCCTGAGATACTGACAAAACAGCTGCGTCTAATGAACGCTCTCTGTTCAGGATTTCTTTAAGAAAACACAAGCCAAGGGCATCAAGGACTTGTGCGCAAGTATGCAAAACACACTTGCATCTTTCTCGAAAGAGGGAAAAAATGAGGGGATACACCAGGGAGAAGATGCAACATGAGAGCGAGGGGGGATGTGATAAAAGAAAAAAGTCTCACATGTGGAAAAAAAGGACACTGAAAGCATGTTTATTTGAACTCTTTCAGCACAGGAAAGACGCCCAGCCGGAAAATTGTGTATTCTGAACCTCAAAATACAGTATTAAAGCTTCTCTCCGCAAGAACGGAGAGGAAAAGTCAAGCTGAACTTCAGGAAAACAAACCAACAGAATGCCAAGTCATTTTAACAGCATTTTGATTTTGGATCAAGGGATGTTATGCTTGGTTTTCACATCTTTTAATCAACTATTGTCAGTTGTTCTCGTTTAAAATTGATTTCAATGTACATTTATCCTTCTATCTATTGAATAAAAGCATGGCACATATACTTCAGCATTATCTCATTCACGTACATCATCCCTAACGATTCTCTGGAGGATTTACTTCACAACCAAGTGCTTCAGAAAAGCTCTGCTCCACTATAAAGAGCCTGTTGTGCGCTTATGCGGCAAGAGGGAGATACAGTGAGACAAAGCACAGGGCACATGATTCATCTCTCTCGATGACATCATCCTGAATGTCTACAGCTGATGTGAATGACAACAGCGCCCCCAAATGGTCCAAAGCGGATCTACATTTAAGTTCCTTCATATTGCACCCATAGCAGGTTTGTACTGTAAAATCAAGCATAAATGTAGTTTGCTAGACACTTATTGGTCCTAAATGTCAATCAAACTGATGGATCACAATTTTATCTTCACAAAACCCATATAATGGCAAGTGTCAAGCTATATTTTGGTAAAATACTGCCAAAATGACCATGCGTCAAAACAATGACCAACAAACTGCTTTGAAACATCTGAATTCAACTAAATGCATATATCAAGCCTATACAAAACACATTAAAAATTACTTCTAAAATTTATTAAAAATAAAACATTTCCAGATATGGAAATATTTCAACAAAATATTAATGTAATGTTTTTAACAGCATTTGTGGGATAATATAGTTTACCAAATAAGAAATTGATGCCTAAAATATATTACACAAATATAATTATACACATATATTGAATGCACATGAAAAGAAGACTAATATAATTTTAACTGTGATGCCTTGTTTTATCTGTAAGTAATGCAAGATAATTCATAAACCTCCAGATACCGAAATATTTAAAAATATTGTTAAATGTTTTCATCAATATTTGTTACATAATACTGTTTACCACATAAAATTATTCCTAAGACATTTAAAAAAAAAAACACAATTATAATAATACACAAATTTATTGAATGCACATGAAAAGAAAACTATTTTAACTTTATGTAATTTTTAAGTGTTACTGTAATATTTATTTTTTGTTTTTATATTTTAAGAGTATATTTATATATAAAACAGAAAATTCATTGCTTTAATATACTATAATTATACAAAAAATGTACTAAATACACATGAAAATAAAAAAGTCAAGCCATTAAAATTAAAATACTGCCAAAATGACGAAATCTGATCATACTTTATCACTTTTATCTATTTCATCTGTTTAAAAAATGGTCAACAAACTCTGAATCTTTTGAACTCAACTAAACGCACATGTGACCCTGGACCACAAAACCAGTCAATTTTTCAAAATTGAGATGTATGCATCATCTGAAAGCTGAATTAAGCTTTCCATTGATGTATGGTTTGTTAGGATCGGATAATATTTGGCCGAGATACAACTATTTGAAAACCTGGAATCTGAGGGTGTAAAAAAATAAAAAATATTGAGAAAATCACCTTTAAAGTTGTCCAAATGAAGTTCTTAGCGATGCATATTACTAATCAAAAATTATGTTTTAATATATTTACTGTAGGAAATTTACAAAATATCTTCATGGAACATGATCTTTACTTAATATCCTAATGATTTGTGGCATAAAAGAAAAATCAATAATTTTGACCCATACAATGTATTTTTGGCTATTGCTACAAATATACCCCAGCGACTTTAAGTCTTGTACACACCGGGACGATTATCGCGGGAAGGTGGTTTTCCACATGCCGAAGTACAGGTATGGCGTGTTGACGCCCTCGATGACGATCCCACACTCCTGCTCCACCATGTCCAGAAGAGTGTTCAGATGGCCGATGTTCCACTCCGTGATGTCCTTACGAAGAAAAAACATCATAAACACATGCATATGACTAATCGTCAGGGTTACTATAGTAACTAAAACCATTAAAAAAATAAAATCAACTTTAACTGAAAAAAAAAAAAAAAACGTATTTTATAACAGCTAGTTGGCAATGTCAAACACTAATCATAGTAAAGGTGACTAACCGGGTCATAAAGGGACCCGCTGATGTCGGCGCCGTAAATGGGCGACACAAACGTCAAGTTTTTCCAGTACTTTCTTTCCAGGTCGTCGAAGTCCTTGTGTTGAGGGGTGCAGTACCTGAGATCGGTCAAGAAAATACAAAGTTAAAGTATAAATGTGACCCTGGACCACAAAACCAGTCTTAAGTGTCAATATTTCGAAATATTTCGAAATTAATATCCTAATGATTTTTGGCATAAAAGAAAAATCATTTTGACCCATACAATGTATTTTTGGCTATTGCTACAAATATACCCCAGCGACTTAAGACAAGAAGCCACATTGTATATGTTATAAAAATATTGTCTTTGATCAAACAAAGCATACTTTTTACTATTGGCCAGTTTGCGATATTCTCCAACCGTCATGGACTTCTTCTGGATGTTGTATTGCGTGAAGAGTCCTGATTGGCCGGTCACCACTTGCATGATGGGAGCGGGAATGACCATCTCTTCAATGGTCTCGTAGGAACGCCGCGGCTTCCACTCCTTCGGCGGAATAACCTAAATAACAACGCATCAACTTTAATAACTGTGATCGACAACTGTACAATTAGACAACTGATACAAGCATTTCATTGTGTTTGTTCAAGTCCTTAGAAAACAAAAATGACAATCTTGTTATTAAGAATATATGAATAAATGCATTTTACAGACCTTTTAATTCAAGGTTAATTTATAAATATATTATTGTTATTAATTGTTAATTAATACAACTTGAAATGTTAAAAGAAATGTTTAATTAGGATTAGGGCTGTGCGATTAATCGAAATCGTCATAAAATCGCGATTTGAGCTTGCGCGAATTCTAAATCGCTTTACAGCACGATTTTCCGTGCCCCCGACCTCCCGCAGTATGCTATCCGAACCAATCAGAATGCAGCGCGCCTAAATGGAGCACGAGAACAGAACAGACCGGGCGGGCATACAAACGTAACGCCAGGTTCACACACTCCGTCTGTGGTGCGTATTTTTTCCGCGCCCATGTTAACGGATCAGAGCATTCACACTGCACGCGATTGCGGTCCGGCAGTGCGCTCCAGGAGCGGTGCGTCTGCAGCAGTCATGCTGCGATCGTTTCTGCACGGAGTCTATTTCTGCTGTGCTGCAAGCGCTGAATTAAAGTGACAGCGCATTATTCGCGGTAAAAATTAACATGGATTGACACGGAAATGTAGTAATTACACCATAAATGCATATAATTAAAGTCTACTGTTTCACAGTCAACACATGGCTTTTTGGCTAGATTTAAAACAAGGAAAAGTGCACTTTTAGATAAACAAGGCAATAATAGATGGCACTCAACAAAGTTATATTTATTGAGTTTAAACGTGAATATGTCTATGAAAGATTGTATTACTGTACTGT